GTTGAGGATGGTCTTGGCACGTAAGTAACCGATGAGAACGAAACCTGTCACCGGGTTTACAGTCTTCGCCTTGGGCGTTTCTCTTGTTTTTTTGCAAATAGAATGGTGTCCTTTTCTATAAAGCTTGTTTTCTGTGATCTTTTTTTTTTTTTTTAAGTATAAATTATTTGCGTAAAAAAATTCTTTTTCATCAAACTCATCAAGAAAATTTTTTTTCTAAGAATAATCCGTGTTTAATTTCAAACTCTCAATCATGGGATGAGTGAAATAATGCATACATAATTTTTCCATCTTAATTTTATTTTTAATTTATAGGATATCATGGTTAAATAACACATTTTTCATACTAAAATTAATGATTTTACAGAGAATTAAATATACTTTTTACCAATTTTAAATAACGGACAGTGAAAATTTCCTCTTAATCTAAAACAAATCATCTAAAATTTACAATTTTAGTCATTGTTACATTCGACAAATAAATCTAAACTCGAAAATCAATTAAAAAAATTTAAAATTGAACCAATCTAAAGCCTAAAAGATCAAATATTCAAATCAAAGAAACCTAAATTTGAGCTAAAAAAAAAGTCAGAATTTAAATTGGCTCAAATTTAAAATCGACAAATCAAAACTTGTAATAATTCAAACTTAATTGTAAAATATAAAATTTAATTACCAATTTATTTTAATCCAATATTTCACATGAATTCAACAACGATTTGAATTTTAAAAAATCAAAAAAATTTAATATAACTCAAATCTAATATAATTTATATTCGTGAATAAAATATAAAATAATTTGAACTCGAATTGAACTTGAAATTAATGTGATTTAAATTCAAAACTATCTTAACTTTAGATGATTGATCAAATCTAAAATGAGCCAACTTCAAATCATTCATTTGCCACCACTATTTTATTATATTTAAATATCTAACTTTTAGATTTATTTTGAAAGTATATATGTAAGTAGTGATTTATTTACATTAATGTAATTTTTATATTTTTTAAAAACTTTAAATCAAAATTATTAAATTTAAAAATATTATTTTGAGTCAAATCCCAATTATTAAATATAAGAAAGATATGGGATTAGAGCTTTTTGATTTGTTCCTTCGCTTCAATTAAAGATTGTTACTAGATGGGCTTGTTTGAAGGAATTGATAGATGCGGGAAGGATAGCTACTAGATTCTTTACCAACACCATTCCCTCCATCGAATAAGGAAAGTTGAATTGTAAGGGATTTAAACATAGTTATTCAAAGGAAACCCTCTAATGGATAGCACATTATCCGTGAATCATTTAATTTTGATTTAACTATTCAAAAAAAGTATAAAAGTTAATTTAGTATAAGCGTATCCCTTTTATAAATATAGAAAAAATCTTACATATGTTTTAGATTTTTGGATGAAAATGATTAAGTGTTATCAAATTAATTTTGTTCTAAAAGTTAAAAAATATTTAACAATTACATTTATATATACAATAAAGAGGGATATACTTATATTAACGTAATTCTTATATTTTTTTAGATCAAAATTAAATTTATGATATATTTGAATTAAAATAATATTTTTAAATTTAGTAATTTTAATTTAAAAATAAAAATGTAAAAATTATAAGATATATAATTTCTAATTTCTATGTTTCATGATGACTAAGTCATTCAACGCATTGATTGTAACGTTTCTTTTTTATAAGCAATTTCAATCCAAACTTTCTATATTTTAAATCACACGTTACGAAGGGAAGCATATTTATCTAGAAATAGTCAGAAATTGACCATTCTATGCATTTTTTTTTATTTTTATTAATGCGGTTCTCGCAGTTTTACTGGGAAATGGCATCAGTGTGGAAATTTAGGTAACGACAAAGAGAAAAGATGCCGAAAAAATTCACCATATTAATATAAACAAATACCACTTTGATAAATCCGGTTAGCAGCCACAAAATTCCACTTTCAAAGGGTAAATGCCTATTCATATAATGTTTTTAAAAAATAATATTTAATAAATTTAAAATTAAAATCTTAATATATAAAATTTTTTATCTTTAAATTATTCTCTACTCAAATCCTGGGCTTACTACTAGTAGTAATAGCTCTACAATGCTTTGCTGTGATACCGGAAGGCACAGAGAATCAATGTTTCGAGTAAAGGAATTTAATTTTTTATAAATAAAATTTTGATTTTAAGTTTTATGAATAAAAAAAATAATTTGAATTAATTTCGGATTAATTAAAATTTAAAATAATTATAAAATACCAAAAAATCTTTAAAAAAAAAGAAAAAAAACAGAAATTTCCTTTGCAGTTTGGCTCACTCATTGAAACTCTCCTCTCTTTCTTTTAACAGAATTTTTTTGTGAATAAAATTGGAAACTTGCATAACAAAAGAATTTTAGAAAATATAAGTACACTTTCCAATATTCTTAAAAAGTTAAAAGTAAATAATATAATAATGCCATGGATTTTTCTATGTAATTGGGAATTTAAGATGCATATCCACTACTTTTTTAATACAAAAATAACATCCCAAGACAAAAATGTTTAGAAATTTACAACTGGATGTTATTTTTGCAAACATAATGGGAATATTTTATTTGTGTGATGCATTAAAAATTAAGGTTAATCATTCCAATTGTATTCCAGGCTGAAATCATTATCTCATGTGGGGATGTTAAAGCTTTGACAATGACCTTACCAAAGTTGAGGTTGTTCAAAGGCAAGGGTGCTACTGCTTGGTTTTTTTGACAATTAGCTGAAAAGGTTGTCCTATAATTCTGACCTGCCAGTTGTTGTCTTAATGGAATTATATCCACGTTTTACACGAAAATTTTAATAATTTTTTTATGAAAAAAAATAATACAATGATTTACTAAAGAAAAAAATCAATTTCCAACCAATCGAATTAGAATATTTCATGAGTTAATTGAGGAATTCTGAAAATTATGAGAATATACTGTTATTTACTTCCTACAATTGTAGGTTTGCTCAGTTTCAGATATGAATAGAAGAAGTTGGGTAAGGCCCAAAATGATATAAGCTGGGTTGAAAAGTTTAAAAAAAAGGCCCAAAAAGTCTAACTGGGTTAAACGTACAAGCCTTCTGGTTCTTACCAGGCCCAAGCGGGTTGGACTCGTTTCCATTTTTTTTGTAGATTACTTTTTTAACACGTTCATCATTGTTATTCACACGTGTTGAATCTACTCATTAATTTCGTTCATAGTGAAAGTCGTACTTGTGAACAGTTTATTAATTTCGTTAATCCTTGCTATTCCGTAAGTTTCAGAGGAAGAAGGTAAAAACATGGTGAAACAAAGATTGGCGCAAGTGAAAACTCAAATCCTTCCAACAGCAACCTGATCTTAATCAAAGGACAATATCTCATCAAAATGAAGGTAGAACAATCAAGCGAACCCTCGATTTAGTCTATCTAGTTAAGTCTGTTTCCCTATGTGTTGTTACTAGACAGTCTTTTTGCGTACGTAAGATGCAATGGCCAACGAGAGATAGAAAACATGAAAAATGATCAAAGCTTTCAGCTGGCCTCGACTGGAAAATATTCAAAGAAACAAAGGACAGGAGCCTTTATTATGTAGTATAGCATTGAGGGAGTACTGGACCCCTAATAATTTGTCATCTCCCACTGAAGGGAAACAAGCACTTCGTCAGAACCCTTTTAGCTGCTTTTAATCATTCTGACCAAAATGGGTGAACTTTGTTTATGCACGTGTAGCATAAGCGAAGTTGAGGAAGCATTTTGAGGTGAGTGACAATTAGCTTCTGATACTTTTCTGCAATTTGTTCAAAGTTTAGTAAATTCTAGGGCATACCAACGTTGGGTTGCTGAAATTACAGTATAATTTTACATTTATACAGATGAAAAAGGGTTGTCTCCTCCATATTGTTTGTCTTCTAGGCAATCAGGTGCGCCTGTTCTGTCAACCAATTGCTTTCAGAATTAATCTAGCCAGCGCTGTTATTAGTTATTAAACTAATATTATCTCTTGCATCTTTGGCAATGTTGAAATACTTAACCCTGTTTATACTATTGGAATGGCTTGATCTAATTTCTTTTGGACATGAAGTTGAAAAATGGAGTCAGTTATGTAATTATCTCATCATTTACGGCCAAAAGTTAATATATAATGGTATACTTCTTTGAACCTGGTTTTATAACAACAGGTTTCATTGACTGTTCTTCCTTCAACATAATCCGCTTTCAAGTACTGATCATTACGAGCTATCAGATCAGTAGCCAAGAAAAAGTGTCCGACCGATCACGTACAAAATTAGAAATGTCAATGGATAATTTATGAAGCGATTAAAGCACTTGTTATTTTTATTCTTCAATTTTTTATATTATATTTATATTTAATAAATATTTTAAATTTAAATTTATTTTATTTTTATAAATATTTATAAATATAAATTTTTTTGTATTCATAAATTTTTAAAAAATAAATGTAAAAATAAAATTTTATTTTTTTTAATTTTTATCTTTTATATTTATATAATTTCTAAAATTTTATATTAATATATTAATTTTAATTAATTTAAAATAACAATTTATATTTATTTAATAAAAATTTATTTACTCAAATATATATATATATATATATCATCCCTATATGTACAACAGTCAAAAGAAATTATTTAATCTGAGTCTAAGCTGTAGAATCTTGAGCCCAGGCCCTAGGATTAGCAGCCCTAGTTGAAAGTCTCAACTGCGGTTCTGCGGAAAGTGAATGCAGTTGAAATCTATGAGTAAATTCGCAAGAGCATAACCTTACACCTACCTAGCTAGATTTTAAAGTTTCTCCATGGCCCCCTCCCTCAATAAATTTTGGAGCTACTTTGGTCTTTGGCTTCCACATTTTCCTTTGCTGAACGAGGCTGAGGCTTACCTTCATTTAACCTGGTTAAATCTAACATCCCAAATTTCACAGATCAGACAAAAAAAGGTTAAAAATAAAACTGGCTAGTCACAGCTGCACTTAGGTGTAACACTTGCATTATTCATAAGTTTACACTAACATACATAGAATTATATATAAACCTTAAAACCCATTCTAGCTACCGGCTGTCGTACTGTGGATAGGTTCAAGGCCTATGATGCTGGGTGTAAATGTAGTCCAAGTGAGCCTCTGAGATCATTCTTTTCTTCAAGCATTCATCAGATCCATTATCACAAGTTTCTACCCCCATTAGTTGCTGCAAAGTATTGGAAAACAAAAACAGTAGTACTTTATAGTAAGATTTTTAGCCAATATCAATATTATAGGATAGAGTCCAAAGTTGATGAAAAAGAGGTAGTTTAAGCTTTACATTCATTAGTTCAATGCCCTCTATATCTGTGATTTGACTAAGCTCTACGTTTTCTTTCCCTGCGGAAGATGCTGAACTTTAGGTTCTATATATAGGTTAGCAAAGAAGGATGGTGAATAAGGATATGGAGACACTCACCTTGTTTGTTTGCTATGAAACGAGCAGATAAATGAGAAGAGGAAATGAGAATTAGAAAGAAGAGAAGAAGAGCACCAGAAAGAAAGCTTTGCTTCATGGTTTCAGCTCGACACACTTTCCTTCTGGTATGCTCACAGTTAGACACAAATAGAGGCAAAAGAGGAAAAGAGATTAGATAATAGAGGAGAGAGAAAGAGCGAGTGGTGTGTGCTTGAAAGTCTTGGGACTTGGGATGGTGCGGAAGAGGGAGATGCTGGATATAAATACATGCAAAGAAAGGTTGATCACTTAGGCCCTAAACCCAATAGAAGGAAAGTTACAAACTTACCCAAGAACACTCCAAAAATCAACGTAACAGTGGTTGACAGAGTCAACAAGTCAACCTTTTGGGCAAATTGACAGCTGTTGCCCATCACCACAATATTTTGACAAGTGGCAAGTGATACGTGTCCAGTAATTACAATATGAAAATACATCATAGGTCATATAAATGCAAAACAATCTTTATTTTGGGTCAGTAAAGTAAAATCCATTACTATTATTGCATCCACATGTTAGCAACCTGTATAAGTGCCAGGCTCAACTATCCTCAGTGGAACAAAGTGACCCTTTTAATTTATTTTATTTCGTATGGTATTATATACACCAAATTTCTCTTTCTAATTACATTGAGGTAAGTTTTACCAAAGTTTTTATTTCTAAGTGATACTTTTCCTTGGTGTCAGGTAAGGATATATGAATTCAATTTTATATCCGTCTCCCAAAGTTAAAGTTTTCTATGATGGTATTGTAATGCCCTGGAATTTGTTTGCATGGGAAAAGATGGTTCAGTCCTTTTTGAAGCAATGGTGGGGAGCCACTTCATTTTAGAGTTTGTCGGATGAGTGCTTTTCTTCTCCCTTGATGGGTTTTTTTCTTAAAAAAAAAAACTAAAAATGGTGATTATGCTTCCCTTTTGGAAGGTTTGAATGTTTCATTATTTGCAGGAAGAATAAAAAATTTTCAAAAGAAAACAAGCCATTGTTGGGATTGGATTCTGTGAAGGCAAATGTTTATTGTAGGATCAAATTCTCTTGAAAATTGAGTTGGAATATTGAAAGATCATGTCTGCCAGCCCCCGACAATTTTGATTGGGAAACATGTTAAATTGATAAAATTAAACTTCTACGAAGACTTATATGATTTTTTTTTAAATAGTTTTTTTCTATTATCAATGGAGAATATTACAAATAATTCTTAAATTATAATGAAATATTAAATGTAACATTTAAATTTTAAAAATAATTAATATGATACTTGAATTATGAATTTATTTATTAATATTGTATTGTAAGGATTGTTTGTAAGTCATATATTATTATTTGAAGTTATTCACGTTAAGAATGAGTAACATATTAATTAATAAATTCATAATTCAAATATCACATTAACAATTTTTAAAATTTAAATACTCAATTAAATATTTCAACATAATTTAAAGATTATTAGTAACATTAACCTTTTAAAATAATAACACATTAAGTGAATTGGAACCATTCTTTTGCACTCTCCTTATTAATTTTAACTTGGAATGATAATATGTGCTCAGATTTTGTTTTAAGACTAGCATCATCGGAGTATTATTCTTTTCTTTATCATTTGTTTGAAGTGATTATGTATGCATTTGTTTGTGGATTGAAGCCAAGCTTATCATCAACAGAAATGCCCCAAAGCCTATTAATTTCATGTTTCATACATACATCGAACATGTCACAGTATTCTGCTAGCTAGTTAGTTTGTAAAGAAACTGTTCCCATAACTACGATCTACTTATGAAATGCTAAGTTACGGTTTAGTTGATTTGGTCTTGATTGTTCTCATTGGTGTGTTTGTCAAACATGGCACTGGTAATTAATAACCATTTTTGGAAAAATTCATACGACTAATGCACTTGGTATCTTGAAAATATGACTAGTCTGAGTATATTAAAATGGGAATTTTCTTTCAAGAGTGGACGTGATGGTGTGATAAATTTTTTTTTACCGATTATCCGTATGAAATGTAAATTAGTCCTTGTTAGATATATTATATATAAAACTGTATTTAATAGAATGTCCTAATGGTTAAACTATGATACTTTACTCTCAGACTAGATTTTCTTTTTTTTTTTTTTTGATAAAAGGGAGAGTGAATGCAACCAAAAAAATCAGTTACTAGTACAAAATTTCCCTATAGTTGGTTGCTGGCATTAAATTTTGTAAAGTGTAAGGATTTATGTTGCAATCAATTTGTCGATTTTGTTGTGTAGCATATATATATATATATATTTAAATATATGGTCCAAAATTTTAAACGTGCATTTCGTTTTTAATATTTTTTTTTTTGTAAAAAAAAATTTGGATTGATAAATTGTTCAATTTTTTAGATCAGAATAAAATATATCATATCTGATAATTTAAAATAAGTGATTGTAAGTTATGCATTCAATATAACTCTTAACAAATGATGATTGATAATATTCGAATTTAAAATTTTTTTTATAAAAAAAAATAAATTTAACAGATTAAATTAATTACTTATTGATATTTTGTTTTTAACATTGTAATCAGTTATCGTTGCCTTTCTTCGCTGCCCTCTCGAAGTCGAAAAAGCCAAAACAAAATGATTAGGAGTATTCATTGCATTGAAACAATACTTCTTCTTCTTTGAGATGAGGGGGATGGCATTTTAATTTCTGTGTTTTTATTTTTGGGGTGAATAGAATTATTAATTATACATTTCATCCTCACCTTTCATTTATTTATGAAATAATGATTTAAATGTGGAAACATGAGCTAAAAACACCAACTCTTACCTTTGATCGTTTTTATTTTGCAAGTTCTTTACCGTAAATAATCATAACAAACTCAGACACCAATAAGAATGATATGAATCAATGCTAAAATCAAAGATCAAACTCACTCATTTCAACTTTCTTTTCCTCCGTCCTTAACTCTAGGAAAGAGATAGTTGTAAATTAACCTTAGTAAGAGAATGATTAACGTATGTTAATTTGAGTGATAAAAAATTTAATTTTTTTAAAATAAAATTTTAATTTTAAATTTTATGAATAAAAAAAATAAATATTAAAAAAATTTATTATTTTATAAAGTTTGATTATTATAAAATAATCAAAACTTAAAATGATTATTAAATACTAAAAAATCTTATAAAAAAAAGAAAAAGAATGAAAGGTGAAATGAAGAGAAATGAAACAGTGAAAATTAAGATAGGGGATGGCACATTTCTTCCGTCTTGACGGGGAACAAAACCCATTAATCAAATCATTTGTCTTAAAGCCAACAACATTCGATAAAAAAAAAATTGGGAACTGGGAAATAGAAATTAAATCTGACAATGCATCGGGAACTTCACCAATAAATTTGGTGTTTTTCCCCACGAAATTTGGCTGTTGTCACCGGTTATTTGTTCTTATATAAAGCAATATTAATAAAGATCAATAGTTGGTCCATGCATTTAATAGAGAAACAAGAGAATTATAATGGCTTAGCAGTATTTCCTGTAAGAATCAAGATAGCATTAATAATAGTTGATAGGGACAAAGTTTTTCATCAATAGATCTTTTAAATCATTGCAAACAAAATCAAATTATAAATTATTTACGCATAAAAAATAATTTAATATGATTTAACATTTTTTTGTTTATATATTCAAAGATAAAAAAATCATTTATTATAGATAAATATCTATATTTATGAACTTTATTATTCTCTTTTAAATTTTTTCTAATCCTATAAGCTATTCAGATATGCCAATAGATACACTTATATAAATCATTTTAATCTTCATTTTATAGTATCTATATCATAAATTTTACAAATATTTTATTTTTTTATATTTAAATTTATTAAAATTTTTATTATTTATAATCCTATTAATTTATTTATTAAGAATCTATTTACTTTTAAAATTTATTCTTACAAATTTTTTTAACCATTAAATAATATTTGATTAATCTAAAATAAATTTCGAGCAAATTTTTATCAGATCTAAAATTTGAATCCTTATTCCCTGAACTTACCACACTTGCTAGCCTTAAGAATTTCTTCGGTCTTTGGGATTTCTTTCTCTTTGAAACACCACCTGATGGCATGATTACTAGAAGCCTTTCTTTTTTATTTGCGTGCATGGTCCCCCTTTTCAGATTTGAATCCACTTCTAGGCACCGGCAATGCAACCCTTAATTCCCACTCTTAAAATACACATTCGTGAGAGTTCAGTTTTCAAAAGCAAAGCTGTAAAAGTCATCACTAATTACAATGGCAAATGTATCCAAACTCTCCACGACGTAAATGACGTCCAATGAAAATTAGAATTCATCTACCCTGGTCCTGGTGGGGGCTTATGCCAGTATCTTGTGGAGAGAGAGACAAGCAGAAGCCAAAACGACGGAAGGGAAAGTGAAAGTCTGTGGTGGGTCAGTGTGACTATATGAATCAGAAGCGGGATAAAATGGAGTAGCTTTTGCTTTTGAACTGAACCCTTTATCAAAGTCATTAAATGCAGTCCATCAAAATTAAAGTACTCAGTACTCACGAATCTAAAACCCCTTCACTTTTGGTGCTCCACAGTTCCTCTTTCCCACTCCATCTTCCGGCTTTTTGGTTCCTTTCTCTCCCTCTCTCAACATAGTATAAAAAAATGGTCATTCTTTCATACCCCATTTATATGGCCTTTGCCCTGTAGGATGTAAATGTCCAACCAGAGTAAGACTGACCCTCCTCTCTATCCCCATGCATAGACTTCAAAAACAAAAGATATTGCTAGTTTTAGTGGTCATGAAGTAGCATTTGAATTTGATAGCAAAGAACCAAGTCCCAGATATATACAGTCATGAAATAGGTTCGTATCCATCTTTCTTACTACTATAAAATATAGTGCAGCAGATGTACTAGAAACAAAAATCTCTTGGAGAGGGTGGAAACACCTAGGCCATTTCTCTGACCCCAACTGCATGCACAGATAAGACACCAACTGCACTGCCGAGTGCCTGTCTCTCAATTCTCAAATACTCTTAAAAAATGACTCTACGCCTGAGATTCTCAAATCACCATACTTGAGACTTCACCAATGTGCTGTCAAATCCAAGCTGACTTCAAAGCTCAAGTGATACGTATTACTATTCTAGACTCTAGTGGTCTCTTTGGGTTAGATATTTCCAGTGCGATTAATATAAAATAGAAGACTCCTCTCAATATAATATGTATATGTAATTTGAAGAGAGAAAAAGCTGGTTTGTTGGGTGCCAAAATATCAGTCCTTATAACTTTTCGTGCACTTGTTAAAGAGACAATGGAGTCTCCTGTGCA